GAGTGGTTCGCCCCCGCCACTGTTAAGGGATATAATCCCACATCGAATAAAGATGTTGACACAGACCAATTAATAAAGATCTTGGGCTACTCCTCTTAATAAGGTTGACCTTTTAAGATGGACCCCCAAATCTTAATATGGTATCAGAGCCCATTATGCTCCAACGAACGATTCGATCCCAGTAAGACTTCAAAAAGTGAGCACGTGGATTTCAAGATTGGTCTGCTCAAATGAGCCACCATCTTGCAGGGGCGTGTTAAGGGATATAATCCCACATCGAATAAAGATGTTGACACAGATAAATTAATAAAGATTTTGGGCTGCTCCTCTTAATAAGGTTGACCTTTTAAGATGGACCCCCCAAATCTTAATAAGTGGTTACCCCTTTATAGCTTTCGAATATAAATCAAAATATTTAAATAAATAATCAAATAGCATTATTATTAAGCCCATGTTTGATTCTCGTTTTTGGGGCAATATGTATTATGGATTAGTGATTATTTGGAAAATGTGTGGTTGAAAATGAATTTTGGAAAAATGTATTATTCAAAAATGGGGCTCAAACTTGAGATAGTTATGGCAGACTGCTGTATTTTGTTTACTCCGTGAGTATTTATAAAGGTATAAATAGAGACTGTTTATCCGTTTTATTTGTTAATAGAAAAAATTGTATTGGGCTACCAATATTTATATTAAGGCCATGTTTGGTTTAACTAAAAAAATTGATTAAAAAAAATTAATCGAATAGGTGGAACTTGAAATCGAAGCAGAATTTTCAAGAAATAAACATTACCATAGTTGTCGTATATAAGATTAAACAATTTTCATTGGGAAATAGGGTCGGAACTTAGAGTATGTTTGATTACATTTATTTCCCATGAAAAATATCAATTTTCTACCCAAATTTCTACTTTGATACTTTCAAGTGTTCGATTGTTATTTTTTTCCATTGAAAACATTTTTCAACTTTTGAAAATATATCTAATTTTCGTTATTTTTAAAGAAAACATTTTTTTTTGGGGGATTATGTTTTTGTTTTCCTCAAAACAAGGAAAACAGTTTCTTTTTTTAGGAAATATTTTCCATGCCAATCAAAGAGTGTGTTTGATTGACTTTATTTTCCATGAAAAATGTCATTTATTCACTCAAATTTCTATTTTTTCGGTTTTTGATTGACAATTTTTTCCATGGAATATATTTTCTAACTTTTGGTCACGTGACCCTATTTTCTTCAAAAATAAGGAAACCATTTACTTAGAGATGGATAATTTTTATTTTCTAAGTAATTCACTTTCTTTTTCTCCTCATCTATCATGTTTCTCTCATCTATTAACTAATAAAAAATGGATAAGTATAATATTTTCTACAAATGAAAACTAAATCAATCAAATATATTTAATTAATAATTTTCATAAAAATAAGTTCTAGGCAATTCGATTGCCTAGAATTTTTTTTTCCATACAAATTCTATACTCATAATCAAACACGCTTAGAGTTTTGAGATTTTAGGGGTCTTAGGCCAACTTTATTTCGTGTCATCTATGAGTTAGATTATGGGCGTGTTCGGTAGAGATTAAAATATGATTAAAATTGAAAAATTAACCGTTATTGTTGACATCATTGTCTTTATAGTATTAGAAATTCTATAGGTTTAAACGGATTTTTGACTAAACAAAGCAATCCTTCACTCTTGGAATAGACACATTTGGGTGCAAGATTGGCATATAACTTTTGAAGTTTGAAGCATTGAATTGTTTAAATTTCTAAACGAAATAATAATAGTACACAAGAGTATTAAAAACGAGTCTTGCATAACCTATTCGTAAAGACATTCGAGTGTAGACGTATAAAATAAATGAATTTATCATCCATGTCTTCAATCGCTTAAGATTTTTTTCCACGAAATGGTCTAGTTATGTGTGATGGGGGTGGTTGAGGTGTTTCGAGGTCATTTCGCCACTATTTGGGGTGTATGACCCAATCTACTTCCTTGTCCTTTGTAGAAGACAAGAGGCTATAAACGTTTCGTTGTACTTAAAAATAGTTTTTTAATATCAAACACTAAAATAAGAATAATTCCTCAAGTACAGANAGCTTGGTCCCGTGGAGGGAATTTCGTAGTAACGCCTTTAATGGCTAGACTTTGAAAAGCTTTCAAATGTAATTCCCATTTCGGTCTGATCCCTATGTAATTTCCTTTTTCTAATGCACCTTTACCTCGAAGTTGGTACACTTGAATTCTATTATTTTAGCATTCTGGCCCTATATAATAGCCCCGACCAACCCATTGCAGCGGAATAACTAAAGCTTAAATTGATTGATGCAAAATTGTTGTTTAGTGTTTTCGCCTACAAACTGGTCAAGATTTGGTGGGTCGGTTGGTAGGGAAAATGCGGCGTAATCTACAGATGCAGGACTGCAATAATGGTGAATCAGAAGGGGTTAACAGATTAGATTCTGAGCACCTACTTATGGCTTTAAGAAAGTAAGTCAATGGATATTTCATTTGATTTCCTTGTATAGCTACTCGAGTTGTATGCATTTTGTAGCTCAATTTGGAAAAATAAGTTAATAACTGATATGGGTTCTGCTTAGTTGCTTTGGATCGTTGTTGAATTTGCTTAATGTTTGGTATTTTTGTTGATTGTTTCTTGTTCTTAATGGAAATTTTCCCTTGTATATATGCATTTCGTTGCTAAATTTGGAAAAAAAATTAAGTCAAGAACTGGGTTCAGCTCAGTTGCTTTGGTTGGTTGTTGAATTTGCTTCATGTTTAAAATTTATGTTGGCTGTTTCTTGTTCTAAACGGCAACTTTCCTTGAGGTTGTTTCTCCGATAAAATTTTGGACGAAATCTTTTTTCCGTTTTCCTTACTGATTGGACGCTGAGCAACTAGTTATGGTTCCATGGTCAACATTTATTCTCTTTGATTTCCTTGTAGAGCTTTTCGAGTTTTATATGTGCATTTCGTGGCTCAATTTGGAATATAAAGTTGAGATCTGATATGGGTTCTTCTTAATTGCTTTATATTCTTTTTTTTTTTAACCCTTTTTCTGCTTTTAGGATTGTGATCCCTGTTGTGGAGGATTGGATTTCAAAAGTGGGGATCCATTCTGTTCAGCAAGTTATAGGACCTGTTATGGAAGATTCAATTCGGAAGGTGAGTGCAAAAAATACATCTTCTGATGATATCTCTAGCATGTTGGTGAGGGCTGAGGAAAAGCAAGTTTGGCTGTATTTTAGGGCCTGCTAGGGAGTTTTAGGGTATGTGGTTTGAGCATTTATGAGTGGACCAGTTTGAAGCGGTTTTTAAAATAGTTCAATCTACATGAGGCTTTATTATCTATCAGTCCTGAAATTTTTTTACAAGATTAAAATTACATATAGTCCTTTAGTGAAATTTCCGGTTTACAATTTCTTGTGTGAATTTTTTTTTACTCATAAGTGATATTTTACTTATAGGTAATTTTTTTACATATAAGTTAATATTTAAATTTATTAACTTTAAAAAGTTAAATATTTATTTACAAATTTATGTTACTATTTTTTACTTATAAATAAACTTTACAATTATAATTTAATTTTGTACTTTTAAATAATTTTTATACGTAAGTAAATTTTTTACTTATAAGTGTAACTTTTTTGTATTTTATAAGTAATTTTTTGTTTTATTAGTAGTATTTTTATTTTATACATTAATTTTTACATAAATGTGATTTTTTATCTTATACGTAATATTTTAGTTTTTAACTATAATGTTATTTTTTTGCTTATAAATAATATATTTCTATTTCAAAATTAGTTTTAAACAAAATATGGTGGTTGAAAATAATTATCTTATAAATGATAAAATTAGAAGAGAATATGAGAAACGTCCAAAAATCACCAATTTGGTGGGTTGATAGAATCGGTCAAAATTATATTATAGCGATTCACCATTTTTTTCAACCTCTCATAAACGGTATCATTCAGAACTGATCAAAATCAGTGAAAAAAAACTCCCAAGTAGGCCCTTAAAGTTCCACCAACATTTAAAAAAGTAACTTTTAAGCATAATCAAACGTGCTAGAATAAACTTTTTTAACGAGGTAAGTTAGACATTTTGTAGTTGGACTCCTTTTCACTTTGGCCAGAGAACAAAGACGTGTTTAAAATATTCGCCCTTTTTTTCAAAACAAACACGTTCAGCAATTTTTGGTGCTTTTAGGCTTAGCTAAATACGCTAATGTTTTGGTTGTGTTAGAAGAAAAGTGGTTAAATTGTTTCATTATCATGCAAGTGTTTTATTCTTCTAAAAATATGTTTATATGTTTGTTCAGTCAACGGTTCTTTATCTCTGTTTAAATAATTTTCTTGTCCATAGAAATATTTTTGAGTTTTCCATTTTCTTTCCAGGTAAAAGATGAAATTCAGTTGGTGGTAGAAAAAAGGTTGATTTACCAGGATTGGTGAGGACTTAAGTTACATATTGATCATTTATATGCACATATATGCTCGGGTGCCATAGTTCTTCTCTCATTCACACACATCCTTGTGTTTTATATTTAGGAACTCTATGGACGAGACAACTACTCCGATACCAAGAGAGTATAAGCTGAAATTCATAGGCGAAGTTTCTGATCCAGTTTATACAGGGAGTGAAATTGAAGGAAAAGAAGGTACTGACGTTAAAGTTGCTCTGGTCGATGATGTAACTGAGGATACTGTTGACTCCGGGCCTGAATCCTCAGCAACGGTGGAGATATTAATTCTCGATGCAGGTGATGAAAACTTCGACAATAGCATTATTATAGCAAACAATAAGCCTCATTTTCGTAAACCTGTCTATGTTAATCTGGAGAAAGGCATTTGTATTTTGCCTAAGAATGTGAAGTTAGGACACAATTCTGCGTGGATAAAGCACTGCAAATGCAGACTAGGGGCAAGAGTTGTGCAAAAATTTGATGGAAGTAGAATTAAAGAAGCATCGACAGAGTCATTTACAGTCTTGGACAAACGCAGCAAATGTAAGTAGCTCTCACTTTGATTTTATTACTAACCGTAAGAATTTATTTACTCTATGACATATAATGACAACGAGAGGAAGTTACATATAAATGCTAAAAACATATTAAAGAAAAATAAACCTTGCCTTTCCAAGTCCAATATGGTTGAAGTGACACATAATTATGTCATTTAAAGGCATCGTCAATGAGATTATATATGACATCACACAGGTTACCTCTTCTTGTTGATTTCTATTGATGAGATACACTAGTCCTAGAAAGGCAATTTATATAGCTATATCCATTCTTACACATAAGAAATTACACTTCATGCTACCGTATTGCACATGTTCAAAGTAATTTTTCGTTCTCTTTTTGTGTGTGTGTGTGTGTGTGAAGTTTCTTGTTTTCTTTACCCCACACTACCTGTGCATCAATGCAAATCATATTCGTACCTAAGATAGAAACCTCAATCCTCTTTTATTTAAGAAGCTTTACACGTCAAATAATAAACTAGATCAGGCAAAGAAGGTAAATCGTCAAAATTCCAGATTATTTGATCAATAATTTTGAAAGGAGGATACTGAAATATCAGTATAACTGCTGGTTTCTATTTGCAGTGTATGAGAAACATGACCAACCATCTCTTTTTGATGATGTGTGGAGACTAAAAAATGTTGGCAGAATTGGTGCTCGACGTAATCGTTTTCGTGAGAATTACATTTCTACAGTACAAGAATTTCTGTTTTTACTCTCTGTTGATCCTCAGAGGCTCCAAAAAGTATTACTCATTGAACTATCCTCTTTCATTTACTCTTTCCGCGAATATTACTCATGCAATTAGTTTGCTTGTTCTATTTTCACATATTAAATAAAAAAGACTTCGAAATTTAGTTGCTTATGTTGCTTGTTTTTGGAGTTATATGTTTGTTTATATTTGAACTTTTAGTAAAGCACTCCATTAGTGTTATTCATCCTCTCTACTCTATAGAAGCATTGTAGCACTGGTAATTTTCTGCATCGTCAAATTAGATTCAACGAAATTTTGTCTCATTTGGTATGATATATATTTCTATGTTGCCCAAAAACTGTATTTGAAAGTGTTTGAATAGTTGAACAGTTTAGCATAATCAATTTGAGGTCGAATATTAACATGGAGTCCAAGAAGTTAATGGTGACTGAGGTAGTTGCTCAGATGAACTATATTTAATTCAATTGTACATGTATATTCAGGGGATATACATCTGACTTGATTCGCTATATTTTGGAATAAAAATCAATACATTTATTTCGGATGTCTACAGATATTTGGTGCAGGCCATTCAACATGGAAGGGCACGGTGGATCATGCTCGTAAATGCAACATTGATGATAAAAAGATGTATTTACACTGCTCTTCCTCCTCTGAATGTAAAAATGGTGTAGTTTTCGATGTTGTGGGACAACTGAGGGGGGTTCTGCGTAACAACCGTTATGTTCCAATTGGAAGTGTAGCTGAGGATGAAAAGGTATGCCTTTCTTGAATCAATTTTCTTGCTCTTTCTTTGCAAGGAAATAAATTAGGGTTGTGCTACATGTACATAACAATTTACATAATGATTTACCAACATATGATGTGGTGGGATTTAATTGGATCAAAATCTCATCAATCAAATAACTTCCCTATTTACATTCTGACACCTCGTCATTATGTAAAACATTTTATAAATAGTTATGTACAAGAAGCATTTTCCAATAAATTAGTTCTCGATCTAACTGATTTAGAGTCATTTTTGACAGGACAATGCACGGAAGTTACTAGCACGTGCATTTGAAAATCAAAAGGAAGCACCTGCATTTGAAAATGAAAAGAAGGCAACTGCATTTGAAAATTGGAACGAAATAGCCTTTTTTGATGATGAAGCTTCTTTTCTGCGTAATTTTCAGTGCATATCCAATGATAAGAATGCCGTCAACTCTACCGGACTGGACGGTCATTTTGTCCAATATTTTGAAAATGCAGATTATTTGAATGAACTGCTTTCCGGGTTTGCAGACGAGGACCCAAATTCATTCTCTGATACTCTGCCTCAGAGGAGATGTGATGATGGTTGTGATCTAATAGCTTCCTATCTTTCTGAGACCTGCATGGTTGAACCAAATTCTGATCAACAATGTATTGTCAGCAGGATCAGCATTGTTGGTGTTGTTATGACTTTAAGATGGTGGTTTCGCGTAAAAAAGAGGGTTGCATTTCTTGGAGATGAACGCGTTCATAAAAGGCAGAGGCACGGATGACAGGCTGCGAACTTTGGATTTGCATTTCTTAGTCCCACGACCACTCAGACGGAAGATGATCAATACTGATAATGGATTAATGTGTTGTATGTTCCACATAATTGCAGTTGCTGGTGTTGGTGCTGCCAATGCTGCTAGTAAGTTATAACGTATAGTGTAAGTGTTGGATAATTGTCTTGTTGTATTTCATCATATAATATTTCGGTTATCTAATCGAACTTTTTTTTTCCCCGTTGTCTAGCTCCAATTAAAAACATATGATCTTTACTAGTTGACTTCGTATATTTCATTATAGAAATCCATTAATGAAAATCAAGGAATTACATTGTCGCTATATTGATGATCATCGTCATCACCGATAATAAATAGCATTTGTCTAGTCGCGATTATCCCAGTATTTTTAGCAAGAATTGGAACAGTATACAATTTCATGGGTCCCAACTCAGCCGCAATTGTTGAATGCTTCATCACCCAATAATTTTAGTGGAATGGGAAATGACCACTCAACCCATTATTTCTTGCATTCAAAATACTTTAGCAGGGCATTTCTGGAATTTCAAATAAAACATTATGGATGATTTTTTTTTTCTTTTTTTTTTTTTGGTACCTTTTTCCATTATTTTTTACTTTGGTTACACGTTCAAAATATTTTATAGATATATATATATTCTTTCTCCACGAATATTGAAACTAGTTTTATATAAATATTGTATGTACGAAATTTCCTAGAATGTCAATGGCAAGTGTTAGTGTCAAGAAACAATAATATTTTCCATCAAATTGTATTAAGGAGTGAACAAAAACACTTGTAGCAAGTCTAATGTACAAGATTCGTAGCCCTGTTTGGTTGGGATTAAAATCAGATATTTAGTAAATTTTGATAGAAGATAAAATACGTGGTAGAAAAATCGTGAAAATCATAAAATATGTGGTTGAAATGAATTATTGACTTTGATTTAAATTAAAATTTAGACTTTAATCGCACCAAACGAGGTCTCAAATATTATTAAATTATATTTTGGAACCATTCAATCTTTTACCTTTTTATTATTGATCATTAAAAGTCAACTGTCATTGTCTCAATAGACTCGTGTCAAGTTATAAGTGGCTGCAGAAATTACAATTAGCACAAAATCTAGCACTGTTCTTAAAATTTTTTTTTAAATAATTTAATCACATATTTCATTAAAAATTATTTTTAAATACGCGTTTTATAAGAACCGCGGGGTTTACTATGTTTTAGAATCTTGAAATTCGAGCTGAATTTTCAATATTTCCACTCAATTCTCCCAATGTCATTAAATTCAATATTAAAAATAATTGTATCTTAATACAGATTAAGTTTTTGATTTTATTATTTCCAAAATACATTTTTCTCTTTTCTTTTCCATTACACCTTTTGCAATAAAATAATATTACATACAAGCCAAAAAAATTCTTATTTTTAATCTTACATTCTTCATCTATCTACTATTCTAAAGTGCACTCTCAAAAGAAAATGGGACTCAAACAAGCAGTTTCTTTTAGTCATTGTTCGATTTTCATTAAAATACATTTTTCTCTATTTTTTTTTTTCAACCATACGTTCTTTAATAAAATAATACTACAAGCTAACCCAAAACTTATTTCATTTCATTTTTTAATCATATTCTCTACCAATCTATTATTTTAAAATGCATTCTAAAGAAATAATGAGGCTCAAACAGACACTTAATGAAACGAGCAACGTGATATTTATGGAGACAACACACACACACACACACACACATATACACAAATGATCTAATGAGCA